ACTTATCTATCTATCTGCCCTGTGACTCGTGACTTTGCACTGGCTTTCGTCAGCAGATGCGGGCAGGGGGTTGCATTGGGGCGCGCGTATGAGGGGGAGTGGAGGCAGGGGCGCTGGAGCAGGGGTGCGAGCATGACCAACGCTCCGAGCTCACAACAGCCCCACCAAAGCTCGCAAGGGCTGGTGCCTGGTGGGGGTCAGAGGGCAGATCCAGCTAAACTGTTTGCAACAGATTGCTTTGAATACATGTTGTCCTCTGCGTGTTATTTAATCATTCACAGCGGCAGGAGCAGCAGCAGAAGGTGGGCATATGATACTGCATACTTGCCAATTTCAGTGTCTGTCAGTTTGTTTGTGCAGAGTTCTCTGCAAACTTCACCAGCCAATTGCTCACGGCCAGTGGGTCAATCAGCTGTGCCCATGGTCAACACGTGTGTGCAGCATGGGTGACAGCAGCGCTGACAGCAAGCAAGCAAGAGAGCATGAGCTTGAATAAAATTGTACGTGCCACATGTGACGGGGCGGATCAAGGGCTAAGGCTCCCTTCCGTATGATCTGGTCGATCGTCGGGATCACAGGGTGATAGGATGGCATGCTGCATGCACTCAACCTCAGTAAAGCCGAGCAATGCATGTTACAGTTTCACAGAGAAGCATTCTTGCGAGCAAGGCGTGATTTGGCGCCATACCATACCTGCTCATTTCTGCCAGGCAAGTGCTTCACTTGATTTCTATCTCATTATCACTGTTCTGCTGAAACTCGAACGTTCAAGCAACCAATCATCAGCCCGTCTTGCCGAGCGCAGCAGGCCGCAAGAAGTGACAAGTGCGTGTTCAGGCAGCACGGCGGCAAGGGCGCCGTGATCGCGACACAGAGCTTGTTTGAATCGTGTCTGAGCCATGGGAGGCACGGAGAGGCTGCCGCGAGAGGCGCGGCAAAGGCGGCTGCCGAGCTCTGCAGCGCCCCTCGTCGCGCACGCGGCATGGGCACCCCAAACGGGACCTGCGGCTGCGCGCATGGGGCCCATTGTGTCCCTGAATTATGTAGGGCTGGCAATCACTCGTCGCACGGGCTGATCGCGGCCCCCCCCTGCCGCCAGCCATGTGCTTCGTTCCCAACCCCCTGCACCCCACCCTCCGTGGCTGCCCCACCCAGAATGCCGGCCGGTCTCGTTGGCAGCCTGTTGGGCTTGGGCAACCCCCTGCTTGACATCTCAGCGGTGGTGGACCAGGCCTTCCTGGACAAGTATGACGTGAGTTATCACGGCGGGGGCTTGTTTCAGCCCGGGACGCTGGCTGTGGTGCACGACGGTCGCTCAGGCGGTTGCGCAAAGATGCGGCTTTGGTCATCATGAAAACCTCGATCAGCGACGGCCGCGGCAGCCCTGGCCACTGCCGGACCCCTGGCAGGACGTCCTGCAGGCGTGGCGCGTCGCGGCCCCATTCAGCGGCGAGGAGACATGCCTGTGCAGCGGCCCGGCCAGCTGCAGCTCAAGAGATGTGACCGGCCGTGCCAGGCGGCGCTGACATGCGTGCGCACCTACCCCCCTCTACCCCCCCCTGCCCCGACCACCAAAACAGCTCAAGCTTGCCAACCAGATCCTGGCGGAGGACAAGCACATCCCCATGTACAAGGTGAACTCTCGCTGCACAATGGGCACCTGCTGAGCAGCACACCCCCTGAGCTGCAAAGCGTGGCGCAGCCCAGGACCGCGGCACGGGCCGGGTCGCCCCCCTACAACCAGCGGGCTGAAGAAGCGCCCCCTTTTTCCACGCCTCCGCACCCTGCCCGGCCCCTTTCGCGTGTCGCAGGAGCTTGTGGCCAGCAGCGGCGTGGAGTACATCGCGGGCGGCGCCACCCAGAACAGCATCCGCGTGGCGCAGTGGATGCTGCAGGTTGCGGGCGCAACGGCCTACATGGGCTGCGTCGGTAATGACGAGTTTGCTAAGACCATGACAGACACCGCCGCTAAGGATGGCGTCAACGTGAGCGCGCGGCGGCGGCCCTGCGCCTGCGCATGCATGCGTTTTCGAGGGGACATGATGGGTAGCGGACATGCACGATGAGGGTTGGGAAGGAAGGATTGGAGCACCTTCGCAAACGCGCTTATTTCCGCATGCACCCATGTGCACACACACACACACACATACACACACACACACACACACGCACACACACACACCGCACCCGCCCCCCAGGTGCGCTACATGGTCGACGAGGCCACCCCCACCGGCACCTGCGCCGTCTGCATCATCGGCGGCGAGCGCTCCCTCGTGGCCAACCTGGCGGCCGCCAACAACTTCAAGGCGGACCACCTGCAGAAGCCCGAGAACTGGGCCCTGCTGGAGGCGGCGCGCGTCGTCTACTCGGCGGGCTTCTTCATCACCGTCAGCCCCGAGAGCATCCTGGCGTCCGCCAAGCACTGCGCGGAGAACGACAAGATCTACAGCATGAACCTGTCGGCGCCATTCATCATGCAGGCGAGGGGCGCCGCCAGGAGCACCGCGCCGCGTCATCCTCGCCTCCCCTTTTCCCCTCGCCGTCTGGGGCTGCTTGGCTGATGCGCATGCGTGGCTGCGGTCGTGCACCGTGCCTCTGCGACAACGGAGCTGGGAGTGGGTGCAGGCCGCCGACCGTGGGCCGCGGGGCAGCCGGCTGCCGGCTGATCCTTCGTTGATCCACGCCTCTGCCACCTCCGCGGCGCCCCGTATCGGACCGCCCTGATGTCTTGCGCCCCGCCCTCACCCGCGCCCCCACCTCTCTAATGCGCCGTTCCCCCCCCTTTCCCCAGGTGCCCCCCTTCAAGAAGGTGCTGCTTGAGGCGCTGCCGTACGTGGACTACCTCTTCGGCAACGAGACCGAGGCCGCCACCTTTGCGGAGACCGAGGGCTGGGACACCCGGGAGGCGGGGGAGATCGCGCTGCGGGTGAGGGGCCAGCAGGGGCGGGGGGCCAGGGGCCCCCAGCGTAGGGTGCCGGTGGGGAGGTGAAGGGGCATGGGCCAGGCAACGCGGATGGATGCAACGGCGGCGATGCGCTGACGGTGCGCAAGCGGCGAGGCCGCGCCGTCCCTGGGCCGAGCTGCATCAGTCTTGCAACTTGAACTGATCTTGCGTGACACCATGATGCAGCCTTGCCTTCTTTTCCACACAACCCCTCTCACGATGGCCCCGCCCTCCCCTCCATCCCCCGCCCCGCAGATCTCCCGCCTGCCCAAGGCCAACGGCAGCCGCCCCCGCACCGTCGTCATCACTCAGGGCAAGGACGCCACCGCCGTCGCCGTCGGCGGCCGCGTGCGCTACTTCCCCGTCATCCCCGTGCCCCAGGAGCTGCTGGTTGACACCAACGGCGCTGGCGACGCGTTTGTGGGCGGCTTCCTCAGCCAGATCGTGGCTGGCAAGTCTCTGGAGGAGGCGGTGCGGGCGGGCAACTACGCGGCAAACGTGATCATCCAGCGCAGCGGCTGCACGTTCCCCAGCAAGCCCGAGTTCGAGTGGGCCTAAAGGGCGGGCAGCAACAGCAGCAGCAGCAGCAGCAGCGGCGGCGGCGGCGGCGGCTGGGGCCGCAGTGAGGCAGTCTTACTGCCGCTGTGCCTCAGGAGGCTAGCCACTGGGAGGCGGGGCTTGCGCCGCGCATTGCGGCGGGGATGGGGGACAGAGCGCAGGTGTAGCGTATTGCAATTGTCGGCTATCGATGCCGGCGCGATGCTTTCAGTCTCTGTAACAGTTCAGCATTCTGTGAACGCCCGAAGCTTTGGCCACAGGCGTGCGGTGTCGCTGCGGCCAATTGCACCTCCTCAGGCGTGCAGACATGCGTTTTTCTGGCCATGCCTGCTCGCGGTGCCCATAAGGTAGCCTTTCGCCCAGCCATGCAAGTTTGCTGATGATGGCGCGGCCATCGCAAAGCTGCCAGCAGCCAGAAAATTCGCACAACAACCAATTGGCAGAGCTGTGGTGGCTACAGCTGCCTGGATGGCTGCCCTCAAGCGTTGCCATGCCAGGCCGTGCAAGATCCAGTTGAATGCGTGTGTTGCAAGCTTACAGAGACAGTGCAAGAACCAGTACAGCAGCAGCAGTGGAACGCCCGGGTGCAAGAAGCGGGTCAAAGGTCTGTCAACGTCCACAAGCAGACAACGCCTACATCCAGTGGCCTTGCGGTGGGGCAAATTCTGTGGGGCCGTCATAGTGTGTCATTAGGCCGAACCCAGGGCTGGACTCTTCTCCTACAAAAGCGCTGAGGGTGCACATGTGTCAGGGTGCGTCACGCGCGCCCCTTGCGCTTGCTGGGGCCCGCAGCCGCCGGGGCGGCCGCGCCCGCCGCCGCCGACGGCACCCTGCCCGAAGCGCGCGT